CGCGTTGTGCAGTTATGGTGATGTTGAACGTCACTCAGCCTGCTCATCCACACTGTTTTACAAATATTTCGTAACTGTTTTGTTGAAGCCAAATATATGTGTGCTATGTGGCTATACCCGGCGTGATGCTGACCACATCACTCACCAAGTGCCGATTGGTCTATACAAATATAGGTCTAGCCCTCTATTCCCACTACGCCTAAAGCCGCGCAAAAGGGACATTTATATGGCTATAAGGTTACACGCGATTTTCAGGATGTGTACTTGATTAAATCTCATCCTTCAGATGCTAATCCTACAAAAATGCAAACCTAGAGGGGGAAAGCTAAACAAAATCTTTTATTGACATAATCTTGTAAAGAAACTAAGCAGGTTTAAGGGACCCTACAGTAGATACTTAGATGTTAGATTACCACTTTCTGTACCAAACAAGTAAACACACATCCCTTGATCAATTCTAAGATGATATTCTGTTCTTGCTATATTTTGTCACATATAGATGTTATGTTAACTCTTTATATCTGAATTATTGGTTTAATTACTTTTGTCCCACAGAGTTTATGTTGAACTCCTTCAGATCTAACTATTTACTGCTTCAAGCTCAACTCCTTCGGAAAAGAGGAGTTACTGTGACAAGTACCAGGGTCTGAGAGTTAACTGATATGAATGTTACACATACTAGCCAATGATATTGTACGACGGGATGACATGTCTCATTCTATTAGGTATTTTCGTTTACTAAACCTAGGGTAAAATTAGATTTAATTGGGAGTGGTAAAATTGTCACTAATCAGTAAATTGTCAACTTGTTTAACGTGTAAGGTCTTGCTAGAATCCATGTACCCCTAGAAACCACCACAAACCAGCCGGTCAAAATAGACGCTAGGCACGAACACTGTTTGGAGCCGAGACGGTGGCCGTTGCATTTTTGCTCCCTTTGTAGACTAAAAGGATATAGTTTCCTCGCATACCTTCTGAGTTGAATGCATGGCGTGACACTGTGAGCTGCGGATTTCATTTGGAATGTTTTTCGACTGTGACCAACGTAGTGTTGTGAATTGTAGATTCAGAAAATAGCACGATGCCTGTTGTCGCAATATTGGTGGTGCCATTATGTGATTAAAATTGATCGCGTGTGACTTCTGATACCATCAATAATGAACTGCATTTTTAATGTCAAACTGTTTGTGTTAGCACTTCGGATGGCTACCGTATGCTTTTAATGCGTGTGTACACTAAATATGCTGAGACAGCAGTCTGTCAATCTTTCCATAAGGGACTGTGATAAACATTCTGTGTGTTTTTTTTTTTTTTTTTTGCACAGGAGCGGAGCAACTTTGGGGTGACCCGTTTGCCATGAAGCTGAAACTAAGATTACCAGACTATCACTGCACTTGGAAACATTTAGTTCACACGTGCTAGGATCCTTTTCTTAGTAAAGCCCGCAGCGCGTAGCGGCTCACGACAACTGTTATGTGTTGGTTTCTTATTCTTCTTCAGCTTCCTGTATACCACTCTTGTCTGGCCACACCACTTTTAACATGTTGTTCTTGCAGTCTTACCATTGTAGCAGATTCACAGTCATCACTTGGTTCTCGCTAACGTCTTACTTCTCGTAGAGTATTCAGAATATCAGCATCCATGGCCCGTCCCGCCCTCCACAGTAGCTTCACCTGCCAGCCGATCAGCTGGCTTATTTCCTTGCACGCCTGCGTGCCCTCACACAAATATGAAACTGATAAGCGTGAGCCCCGACTGATTTAGAAACTCCAGTCACTGTCTTCGGATCCAACCCTTCTGTATCTTCCCGAGCATATTCATTGAGTCATCGAGAAAGGGAAAATGTCTGTCTCTCCAGCCATGTTATTGCTTTGGTCACTGCCATGACCTCCATAGTCAGACTACTTGTGGTCAAGGCAACAGCACCAGAATCTTGCTTCACAATTCTAACTCCAGCCTGACCGTAAAAGCCCAACAGCTTCTCACATGGCGAACCACAGATCCATCTGTGTATATGACAGCATCCTAGTGTAGAGAATTCTAGAAAATCAAACCTGCACTTCTGCATCAACAGCGGCTAGACTTTCTCGTCTACATTTTCTGTCTAGATGGTTGAACACAGAAAAGGTTGTACAGCACACGGTTAGTACTTGTACCCATTCCTCACCAGGTTCTATGTCCTCAAGTGAACACACCTGCGAAATAATATCCTCGGCCTGGCCCATCCATTTCCTCTTCTTAACGTGCTACCTTTTTTCTTCTTAGTTTCACTATGCAGCGGGTGTCGTGTGTCTGCGTTGACTTTGTGATAAGCACCTGCTTGGCAAATTTCAGTTCTGTCCTCCATGGCTGGAAAATCGAGAACATCGCTTTGCAGACTGTATAGCTTGTACGTCAAAGTATAGGGCGCATAACTTCATTCTGTATTCTTTCCGTCCTCTCCATCCGCTTATGGCTGAGAGTCGGGATCGCCATCGCATACTCAAAGACTCAAAGGACGAGACCCTGATATAAAAGACATAAATGACGCTGCTCGCAGTTTTCTGCAGCCATTACTCTTATCGCAGCCAGGCTCCGCTTGGCTTTTATTATTACCTGGTCTGCGCGCAGTATGAGCCAAGCTGCGATCAAAACTTATCCCCAGGTACTATTCCTTGCCGGTGTTCTTTCCACAGTCTCTGAGCATAGACTTACAGTTGTCGTTGGGGTGTTGACAATATGGTTATCCAAAGAGAACCACGTCACTGCAGCCTTCGCTGGATTGGCCAATGCACACGCTTGACCACACCAATTGTTTATGCATTTGAGTTGTGTCTGTAGTTCTCCAGCAACCAGCTCTTTAACTTGCCGATAAACTAACACGTCATTAGTGTACGACAGTGTCTTCCCCTGTCCTGCGATCTGCTCACTGGTTTTTTATTTTTTTCGGTGTAAACATTGAACAGCACAGGAGATAATGGTGATCCCTGTGGCAGGCAGGGATGTATAGTTATAGGTTCGGAAGTCCAACTGACACATCTAAAGACTACTACGCTTTGGAAAAGGGTTGCAGAGATCCAACTGAGAAGGAATGGACTTTTTCTTTAGCTCAAGAAGTTGACACATTAAAAAGTCTAACGGTACCCTTTTGTACGCATCCTCAAAATCAATAGCAGCCGCACACGTTTCAATGCCTGAACAGAAACCTTTATACACATCATGGGCAAAAACTGCTGCATCGGTCCAGGTTTCTTTGTTTGGACGGTACCCTCCAAGGGTCGATGGAGGAATATACTGCCTCTCTAGCTGGTACGATATTTTTATAGCAGTTATCTTCTCCAACAGCTTACCTATAGTTCTCTGATTATCCGATACCCCTGAATTTATGTGTGGCCTTTACCAAACTTTGGTATCAGAAAGCTTTGAACCCACTGCTCGTTGATTAAAGGTTAGACACACGGTCTGCTTCTTCATCTTCTTCTTGTTCCCTTCATACCCCAATTGAGCATAGGCCGTTCACCAACTCACGCCAAGTTGTTCTATTTTTTTTTTGCTATTGCGTACAACTCACCCCATGTCCTCCATGTCTTTTTAACTTCACTTTCTAGCTTCTCTATGTGTTTGTATTTTATCTGCCTGTATTTTTATGTTCCTTTGGGTTCAAATGGAAGACAGTCTAGTTATTTTGTTCTCACAAACGTTGTTAATGTTGTTATATGGTACATGATCTTCATGTTGTCGGTTGCAATATTTGATATTGCGGATAGGCAGGCCGTCCATTGTATTGTTGGATTGGGGGTGGGGGGGGGGGGTGGTTCTGGTTGATGTTTGATGACACATTTCCACCTCAAGTGGACGGAAAGTACATGGGTTTGTTGCCCAGCTACTGGGTTGGTGCATGATGCCACAGTGAGTTGGGGATTTGGCGTAGACGAATTTTAAAATATGTCAAGTATTTGTAATAATGAACAGCATAGCCAGGAAATGGAAGATGGCCGGTTGCCACAAAACTGGCGTTGCCTTATACGGTACTGCAGGTTCAGCTGCTTTGTTGTGTCTGCTGCTTTAATCAATGATCAGATGCGATTATGACATCTTTAGTATCGGCCTTCTGCATTTTGTGTAGTTGTATGCTGTGGGCTCTGCCAGTACTGTAGTCTGCTCAATCTTTTTCAACACACGAGGCAGTGATGGGTATTCTGTTTGGTTGTTGCTGGTACAGAGATAGAGAGGGAGTCGTCGTGATGTAGGGGCTAGACGATCGTCTGCGAATTAAAAGGTCGTGGGTTCAATACGCATGACCTCGATTTCCAGCTCGACCGAACCTTAATTATGTACCAGGCATAGTCCTGGGAACTTAAGACGACCGGCGTGATATCGACCATATCACCCGTCGACAGTCGATTGGTCTATACAGATATAAGTTTTGCCTGATTTCCCAATGCGCCTCTGTCATGTAAAAGGAACTTTACTAAAAGAGATGGAAAAAAAATAAAGGGTAATCAATTGGCTTTGAAGTTGGAACTAGGAAACAAGCGACTCATGACTGACATTGCATACATAACTCAAGTTGTGTGCGTTAGCGTCAGGCGCATCGCTATAGTTACGATGATAAAGCTGCAGTTGGTTCATGTTCAAGCAGATGTATGTATCAACTGTACAATTCTTTGAGAATTGACATCAATATTCACAGTGAATTGAACAGTGTCTTTCTCTCTGCCCAGACTAGAAAAAATGTCCATTTTTTTTAAACAATAGAAAAACATAATACACTGGAAATCAGCAATCAAACTACCACAGTCACAGAGTCAATGTATTCACACAAGCTTCAGCAACGTTCACAGTTCAAGTCAAAGCTGTCAGTCTATTTTCCTCATATTTAGAAATCTATTATCCTCATTTAGAAACGTGTGCGTATTTTTTCGGAATCAACAGAATATATATAAACACGCTGGTATATATTCTATTCACTGAAATCATATGACAGCGCATGAATGAAACCTAATGCAACCTGAACCATCTCATAAACTCGTTGTTTTCATAGTTGAGTTCATATAGTCTTCATATGTCGGGGGCGGACAAGGTTCTTCAGAGGGCGGGGTTGGTTCAGGACTTGGACTAATCACCATTCGTACTGGTGGATCAGTCGTGTCTGTATGCTCCTCATCGTCGCCATCACTGGCTGGATTGGTATAGGCGTGAACATGGTATTCATCACTCGTCACTATCTCGTAAGAAGGCGGGTCATCGCTGTAGAGACGTGTTCTGGACAGAGAGGGAGAGAGGATGAACATAAATCATTAAGCATGTGTCGGCACAATTTCCTGTCAAGTTGTACATTTTCTATGAGTTTTTATTGCGAATTACTGTTGAAAAAGGAACAGAGAAATTTCATGCAAGCGAACTGGGCAAACCTTTTATTAAAACATATGTTGCTGAAAGACATCTATAATTGGTAAGTTAGTTAGTTAGTTAGTCGACAGATTATCCTCATTGCACGTCGAAACACTCAGGCCATAAGTGCTCGGATCCCCTCCTCAGTAAATCCTGCAGCGAGTAGCGGCTAACGACACCAGTTCTGTGTTGGTTTATTATTATTCTTTGACTACCCGCGTAGTGTTCTTGTTTGGCGATACCCCGTTTAACATGTTATTCTTGCAGCCTGACCATGGTTGCAGATTCACAGTTCTCAGTTGGTTCACGCAAATGTCTTAACCCTCTTAGCGCATTCAGTACATCAGCCTGGTCCATGGCTTGTCCGGCTTTCAAAGAAGCCTTACCTGCAAGCGTATTAGCACGAAAATGAAATTAATACTTGTCAGCCGTAAATTCTGTAGAGCCACCAACCACTGCCTTCGGACCCAGCCCTTCTCTAATTTCCTGAGCTTACTCATCGAGTCACTGAGAAAGCATGCCCCAGTGAAAGTCTGTGCCTCTAGCCATGTTACTGCTTCAGTCACAGCTATGACCTCCATAGTCAGACTACTTGTAGTTACTGCAAAAGCTCTAGAATCTTCCTTCACAACTCTCCCTCCAAACTGAGCTGTGAAAGCCCATGAGCTTTTAGCATGATGGATTACAGAACCATCTGTGTAAATGACAGCATCACCCTCTAGAGCGTTCTCGAAAATCAAGCCTTCAAATTCTGCTTCTACAGCAGCCGGACTCTGTTGTCTTCATTTGGAGGCAAAAAGAAAAAAGATGTACAGCACTTTGAAGGCACTTGCACCCACTCCTCGCCGGGTTCTAAGTCCTCAAGTGAATATACCTGTAAAATAATGTCCTCGGCTCGATCCATTCACGATTTGCCTCTTTTTAACCTGCTGCCTTTTATCTTCTTGATTTTACTATGTAATGGATGTTGTGTTTCCGCCTTGACTGTAAGGTAGGCACGAGATCGGGACATTTGTATTCTGTCTTTAATGGTAAGAAAATCTAGAAGTTAGCGCATAGCCTTGCATGCTGTATCTCTTGTACACCCAAGTATAATGCGCTTAGCCTCGTTCTCTATCCTTTCCATCTGCTTATGGCGGAGAGTCAGGATAGCCATCGCATATTCAAAAACAGAAAGGACCAGACCCTGGTATAGAAGACATAGATGACGCTGCTCACAGTTTGCCGCCGCCATCAGTCTCATCGAAGCCAGAATTGGTAAGTATTTAACTAAAGTAAAAAAAATAACTTTAGATTTGGATTTAGATTCTTGGCCTTGGTGTAGCGGCATGCGGATCAGAAGATTGTGGGTCGGAAGATTGTGGGTCGGGTCCTGACGGAACAGGACTTTCTTCAAAAATGACCTGGGCTCACAGCCTCGAGTGGCTACCAGACGCAGTCTTGGGAAGTAAAGGCGGTCGGAGTAATGTTGGCCGGTTGGTCTATAAAATACTGTCTATGTGCTCAATATGCTTGAAGCGGAAAAGTATCTTTTACTTTTTTTGTTTGTTGTTGAAATTATTTTATTCCCTGTTTGCCCAAAGACACTATATTTGTTTCTGCCCCTGTGTATTTAACAGACTTTCTCGGGCCTTGAATCTATGGAGCTCATTGCTGCATCCTTAATCAAACTCACGATCGCTCACCCTTCTTTAAATATTCCAAGAATTCATATGGCAGATGTTTTCTTTTCCCCTACAGAGATATATCAATGCCAAGGTTCAAATACTGTTTTTGTTGTGTGTAAGAGCTAATGACGTCAGTGGATATCCCAGGAGGCCTCAGTCTCTTTCTGTGGATATATCTCATACAGAGGGATAATGTCTGGAGGAGGCGACAAGAGTGGGTTCTCAATTTATAACATACCCCAAACACGAAGTTCCCGTGGGAAATCCACAGCTGACCTGACAGTCCATTATTTCAAGGGGTGCAAGTGTGCTGATGTGTGGTGCTGTTTTTGAGTTTTCATCTACTGTCTTCTAACCCTAACCCTAACCCTAACCCTAAACTTGGCTGTAGATAAATCGCGAGAAACTACAACCTGAACACTCTAGAATTTATTGGGATTGTCTCCCGTGACATTGTCGTGACGTCAGGGGTAAGTTATAAATTAAGTACCCATGAGTGAGATGAAGCGAAGGAGTGGCAGTATTAGCAGCTGTAGTTTTATAACAAATACAACAATACACGACAGAAATATTAAAACCAGAAAGACGCGTAGGTACAAATAAACAAAGCAATAAAAAAAGAAAGAAAGATAAAGAAAGAAAGAAATAATAAGTAAATCACAGAAAGCACAATATGCGTGGGAAAAAGGTAAAGATAAATAAATAAAGAAAGAAAGAAATAAGCAATTCACATAAAGCAAACAATTAGTAGATAAAGAGATGAAGAAAGAAAGAAAGAAATAAAGAAATAAATAAAGAAAGAAAGAAAGAAAGAAAGAAAGAAAGAAAGAAAGAAAGAAAGAAAGAAAGAAAGAAAGAAAGAAAGAAAGAAAGAAAGAAAGAAGAAAGAAAGAAAGAAGAAAGAAAGAAAGAAAGAAAGAAAGAAAGAAAGAAAGAAAGAAAGAAAGCAAGAAAGCAAGAAAGAAAGAAAGAAAGAAAGAAAGAAAGAAAGAAAGAAAGAAAGAAAGAAAGAAAGAATACACACAAGAGCAGATAACCCGAAGAACTCAGTCGGTAATTTCGCCGACTTCAGTGACTCCAAGACCGGACATATTTGTCTACGCCCATTGATTTTATTCTGCGCGTGAACTGGGAACTTCTTTCTTTGAGAATTGGCATCAATATTCACAGTGAATTGAACAGTGTCTTTCTCTCTGCCCAGACTAGAAAAAGTGCCCCTTTTTAAAAACATAACCATACGCAAGAGTATTTGAAAGGAAACGAGAAAGCAAAATTAAGTGGAGAAAGTGGACACAATATCAAAGCAATGAAAATAGATGAACGGAAATTGAAAAGGGGAAAATAGATGGCGTGAACAGATACGGCCTAATAGACTCCAGAGTTGGGGCTAGCGTTGGAGTGGCTTGGGACAGAATATAAATGAGGTGGAAGGGGTGAAGGAAGGATGGATGGGTTTCAGGGAATGGGTTACCAGATGGATCAGACGAGCGAATCAACAATCTTCAAAAGAGACATTCTATTTATCCCCAGTTTTCCTTCTCCACATTTTTATGTGTCTTTGTCACATTCAATCATCGTTCTATCATCATAACCATAATCATCATCACCACCATCATCATCACCTTTTCGTCTGGCTTCTTATGTTTCATTTCAGGGGCGAATTTCCACATTGATCAGAGAATATAATTGACAATCTTAAAAAAAAATATTTAATTTATTAACTTCTGCTCTCCTTGTCCCATCCCTTATCTTTACGTACCCCCCCCCCTCCCCCCCATCATCATCATCGTTTCTTTTTCTTCTTCTTCTTCTTTTGTCTTCTTTTCCTCTTAGCGTTCACCGGCTGTACACTCCGAAGGAAAACATGGTCTTGTTGCAGAACTTGAAGATTGCGTGTGCATTCTTTTCACACATTTAGCTTATTGTTGTGCAGACTGTTGATTTCCTCACATTTCAGGTAGAGACACTCCAATTTAAAACATCTAGAATTAGTCGCCTTTTTTGCGACTTGCCTGTTGGGAAGGTAGAATCCAAACACGGAGATGTGTTTTCAGTAATCTATTAAACTGATAACTCATCGAGAAGCATTGATTCCCTATATCTGTCATACATGAACGCCATAGGAGGCTTGCTTGGTGACATCATTGAGTAATTTCAGTTGTGGAAGACCCCACAATGATTGAGCACTTTTACGTTGCTCTAAGAAACTCCTTCTCTCCGGTTTACTGACATGTTGGAAAGTTTGTCTATTTAAATCGGACCCAATCATTGGTTCAAAAAGTATCTTATTAAAATCACATGATTGTCAAAACTTCAGCCTAAGCCTGCAATCAGTGTCGAAATTATGGAAAAATTAAAGCAATACCCAAGAATAACATAAAGTTAGTCTTTCCTCTGGAGTCTAGGGCGGCGCATAGGGCAGAGGTCATAATTCTCCATGTTCGGCGGTTCGTTGCCACCTGTTTTAAGTCTTGGATATTCAATAGACCCATGGTTGAGCCTCCCATGAGGATGGTTCTACCATGGCTAGCTGAAGGCCTTAAGTTAGCCATCGCTCTATGCAAAGTCTTTCTTCCTCGTTTTCTTTTCCCTTCCGGTGTCCACACGAGGGCTTGATAGGGAGGTCTTGCATATAGTTCCAGCAGCGCTTTTTAAAAAAAAAACTGGATACACTCTCTTGCTTGGTCTCTTGTCTTATTTGCGTTCTAGTGCTGAAGTTTGTCCAGTGGCGATTTAGTATTTTTCCAAGATATAGGAATAACATATAAATTATGGTAATGAGAAGGGTGAACCGGACTGGTTATAACATAATTTGTTAATTTTTTAAATGAAGCAATCGCTGCAGTTTTAATTTGTGACACTACATTGAAACGGATATGAATGTTCATAAACCTTTCTCTCTCTCTCTCTCTCTCTCTCTCTCTCTCTCTCTCTCTCTCTCTCTCTCTCTCTCTCTCATACTGCTGCTGTTTTATTTCTATCTAAGGACCTAATCTGCACTTTGGTTTACATCCACCAGCACCCCCGCCCCTTTTCTGCCTGTCCGTCCCAGCGCCCTCTAAATTTGATCGATGCCGCTACCGTCCCCTTATACAGTAACAGCGCCCCGCTTACATGGGCGGTAGTACCCACTTTGGGAATCACTGCTCATGTTCGTCTAACTAACATAACCCTAATGAGACACATCGATCGTTTGTTGTCTCCCCTTTCTTGCCGCGAACTGTCGCTTATAAGTCATGCTTAGTGTGTCCATGGTTGGCACTGATACAGCTGAGCTGGTACTTACCGCGAGGTCACGTGGCACAGGTCCGATACCTGGATGTCACACAGGCTAAATGATGAGCTGTTCTGCAACTGGGGAAGGAGAAAACAGCACCGATGTTGTTAGTTTGGTAGGAATAAACTAACTTAACCGTGTTCTCGCTATTTAAAGTACACAATCTGGTGGAAGGGGTGGTTATAAAAGGTTTCATTTACATCTGGTCTCACTGCGTTCTTAAAGTTCTGTTGAGGAAAGCAAACAGCAGAATCGACAGTGGCCTGTGTTATAGGCACAATCTACTCCTTGAACCTATCTCTTGTTCAAATCTACAAGAGCTCCAGTGATGTCGTGGTTAGTAGAAGCAAACCCACACGTAGGCTGCCTCAGTAACAAAAATCGTTACGCGGGAGCTAAGACCATAATGTCTTAACCCAGACAGGAAATATTCTGTATGAGGTCTAGTCAGTAGTAACAATAAAACGAGGCACAAAAGCCACAAGTTCTAATCCGAATCAAAATAACTGGAACTATAATCATCAAAATAACCATCTGTTTATTTCACTTTACTTAAAACTAACGTTGCTTCACAAATAACACCACATTACCAAACTAACTCATGTCCAAACACACCACTTCCTAAGCACTTCAACTTATAAAAGAGAACATTTGCTTCTAGCGACAAAACTAAAATTTCTCTGAGCGATGATACACACTTATATATTTAGTTCTAAACAGTTTAATTACAGGAGTAATGCATATCTTAGACCACTGCCAAGAAATCAATCAGCCTACCGACGCTCGATCGCCCGAATGAACGCTGCTATGCTCATGTGCGTGCAGTCGCCGCTGGGTGGGAGCTCCTGTCCCAAGGCGACCGGTGGGGTCAGAACGCGGTAAGCCGAATATGCCGTTTTTCGGGTGCATCGGCTTTTTATCAACTCTTGATCTCCTACGTGCCAGATTTTTCCCCGTAGGTGGAGCTTGACAAATAAATCATGACCGGCATTGGCCACCCGGCTACATTATGGTCTTTGTACACACTGAACAATTTAGACTTGAAGATCAATGGCAAGAAAGGAGAAATTATAGTCAACCAGAGGGAGAAAAAAGATATACCAACAATTAACAATGGCACATTATGATGTGGACGATAACACAAGTTTTGATGATGATGCTAAAGATGATGATGATGGTTATGGTGATGATAATGGTGACGTAGGTAAAGACGGATAAATGTATAAAGCAAATAATGTATGGCATTATGGTGACTTCAGGGACTCAACTTTTGAGAAGACAGCAGGAAAAATGCAGCTGGGAATTTTCCAACAATTTAATATTTATTAGCGACAAAAGACTTTTTTTTTTTTTTAAATTGCGATGTTATCAGATGTACTGGGTAAGTTAACTAGATTACCCCTGAAACGGGGAATTCTTGAGATGTAATTTCTCAGTATAATTGGATTGCTTTTCACAAGGGGTTTCACAAGAAGTGATATTTGATAAACAAAATCGAAACATTCCGAGATGCTCCCTTGGATATTTTCATTCTGTTATCGTTACGGCTGTTTACCCACCGCCGCCTCCTTCTCTCTACTTTTGTGCACACATTCTGCTTTAGCCTATCCTGATCAATGCGCAGCAGGAGATGTGAACATGCATTTGAATAGTTTATTTTACATCCTTACCACATCCCTGTGCTTCCTTTTTTGCTCTTCTGTCCTCCGGTAGGTTGGAGTATACACATGAGGATGGCAATTTAAAAAGATTTCTAGACATTAAAGCCGTTTGATTCTGTGTCTTTCTGTTGACTCTGTGTATGATATTCTAAAATTTACTCGGATTTCATGGCTTTATAATATCTATCTTCTTGTGTTCCCCAACACACTAATTCAGGGCTGACGTGGCAGTGCGGTTACTGACTCTCTTACCTGACAGCCAGCCAGATGGCCACGAGTTCGAAACCTTCAAGATGTTTTAGATCCTTTAGGTTTTTGACTGTCTCTGCCTATCCAGACTCCCTGGGGTTTTCCCTGGCCAAGTTGGCCTCGTGATCTGAAGGCGGATCTTTATCAGACTACGTGGCTTGACTCATAAACGTAATTTTGTGTTTCGGAGATCGTTTGTAAACGTTGCTCCAGCGTCGGAGTTCCTGCTTAGTGTTGTATTCTTGGCAGCGTGACGGTATTTATACAGTGAAAAACGGAGCAATACTGGGTAATTTTCGAGACAACGAAGCCAGACCCCGTCCTTTATATGCCGGTGACCTGCTTCGACAGATTCTATAAGTGTCATTCACTTCTGTGTGTCATTCATTTCTGTGTGTCATTCAATTCGGTGTGTCATTCATTTCTGTGTGTCATTCAATTATGTGTGTCATTCAATTCTGTGTGTCATTTAATTCTGTGTTTCATTCAATTCTGTGATTTTGTGATTTTTGTGTCACTCTTTTAAATGCTCAGCCCGCGAAGGATAACCCAGTCAACAAATGCCCAAAGAGGTCGGATGTGTTGGCTAAAAGGTGCAAATATAGCAACCATGGTGTTAAAGGAAACATCGCAAGTACATTCTTGGGTGAACGCAGAAGAAAAAATGCCCAGCAATCGGTATTTCTTTCTTTGTATTACCTTAAAAACAGCACGAATTCAAAGCTTATAATAAGTTAATGCCGTATAGTCTTTTTTTTTCTTCTTGTTTTTTTTCTTTTTTTCTTTTTCTCACAGGTGCAAACGCCTCAGCAAAATCCCACAAAGTCGTCAATTGCATGGCTATCGCGTTGAGCTCATGCAAGGCCTTCCCCATCTTTTAAACTTTATTCTTCAGTTCTTCTCTATTTTTATAGTCTGCTTTTATTTCTATGTCCCTGTAGGTTCCATTGTAAAGCTTCTCCAGTTATATCGTTCTGATATGACATAAATGTATTTTAGGTCCAGAAGACGTGTATGTACGTTCAACATAATATAGACGTTTTCAATATATGGATTATGTGTATACGTACAACACAGCAAAAATGATTCGGGCAAAAGAGGTACTGTCAGACATGATCACTATGCAGCGAAAGCAATAGTAAACCAACAAAAAACTGGTGTTATCACTCGCTCACGCTGAAAGATACCCAAGATGGAATCCGAGCGGTTATGTACTTGTACGTTAAGGATAATCGGTCAGTTAACTGAACTAACTAACTAACTAACTAACTAACTAACTAACTAACTAACTAACTAACTAACTAACTAACTAACTAACTAACTAACTAACTAACTAACTAACTAACTAACTAACTAACTATCTAACTAACTGACTAACTAACTAACTAACTAACTAACTAACTAACTAACTAACTAACTAACTAATTAACTAACTAACTAACCACTTAACTAACTAACCACTTAACTAACTAACCACTTAACTAACTAACTAACTAACTAACTAACTAACTAACTAACTAACTAACTAACTAACTAACTAACTAACTAACTAACTAACTAACTAACTAACTAACTAACTAACTAACTAACTAACTAACTAACTAACTAACTAACTAACTAACTAACTAACTAACTAACTAACTAACTAACTAACTAACTAACTAACTAACTAACTAACTAACTAACTAACTAACTAACTAACTAACTAACTAACTAACTAACTAACTAACTATCTAACTAACTAACTAACTAACTAACTATCTAACTATCTATCTAGCTAACTAACTTGTTAGCTAAAGAACCATCTAACTAGCTAACTAACTAACTAGCTAACTAACTAACTACCTAGCTATCTTAATATTTTCTGTCAGTGCAGAGATTTCTGGAAGGGTACTACTGTTCGCTTCGTATATATTATTAAAGTAACAATGGCTTCGTATATAGTATTTTTCAGTGTCTCTGATATTTCCGCGGTCCATTTTCTGCGTGGTTTTAGCATTGCTATTTGTGGAGCCCTGGCTGATGCCAATCTTGTTACGTGGCTAAAACACTTGATCTGTCTACCGACAAAGTTCAGTACTGGTTTTGTGCCGAGTCTCCTGCTAGTTCCTATGTCGATATTTCCTTGTGACACTAGCAGAGTACGACAACATTTTTTTTTTTCTGTCGTGACTTTTTTTCTTCTGTCTTGTGAAAACAATGGTCATGTTTGACAATGTTAGCATAGCGTTGGTAATAATGTTACCTAAATAACTAAACTAAACTAAACTAAACTAAACTAAACTAAACTAAACTACACTAAACTAAACTAATTAACTAACTAACCTACCGACTGGCTGATCGACTTACTAACTAACTGACTGACTGACTCATTGACAGACTGACTGACTGAAAGACCGGCTGACTAGCTAGCTAAATAACTAACAAAATAACCGAATGACGAGCCTCCAAGTTAGGAATCACTGTATTACGTACATTGCAGCATGAACGAATTGAAGTTTTAAAACAAGAAAATAAAAAAAAATGGAAACTTAGAAATGTTGAACAGTGAAAGCTTTGAATTTCAGTTTAAAGGTAAGAATATGGAAATTGCGATGAGAATGTAATCCTCTTCCAACCAAAATCCCGCAGCCCACCAGTGACTGGCGCCGAAGGCCAATAAATAGGTCTCTGTAAGCGCTCTTATTTTCAGCGACGAAGGAGATTTGTTTAGAAACCTTTGGCTTACAGTTCCTACATTAGGAGAGTATGGTGCGATCTTTAACGTGAGGCTTATTACCAGGCGTGGTGGGGAAAGGTATGTGGTGATTATCGGGGATGATTAACACGAGGAAATCGATTTGGTAAAGTGTGTCTACTGAGATAGTTATATAGCCATACTGCTTATAAGCGAGTCACTGTGTGTGTTCTGGGATCCCATGCTGGGGGGGGGGGGGGGGGGGAGAGATCCTGCCTCAGGTTTCGCACCCACTCTACATTTCTTCTTCCTGTAGCCGTTTGGTATGACCAAGGTGTTGCTCTGCATCGTTCATGGAGCCAACATTCATGGCCGACGTTCTTCAATGTTGATCTTATCCACGGAGATATACACTGCTACCCCGGGGCTCCTGGATGAAATGGAGTAAAGTTGAACAGCCTTTCCAACCATTTGCACATGGCGCGTTTGATCATAGACCCTTATTTTTGATAAATCGATGAGTGGTACGGTAAATACCACAAAGGCCGCCTGCACTTCCTAGAACTTTTCATATCACATTTTAGGCTATGTTGACATGGCACTCCAGGGAATCATACTTATTTTCGTCGGTGCAGATTCGAACCCATAACCTTCAGGTTGAAAGGAAAGCATCCAGCCAGTCAGTGTGCAAATAAGACCCTTTGAGGAAACATATTGTACCCATTTCTTTCTTCTCGTTTTAGGTTGCTAGTGTGTGGAGAGAGGTTTATGTTACACTGATTGCTACTAGATACTACAAGTTTTGTTTGAAAATACGCCGTTCCCACAAGTTCAGAATTTCAAGATGGCGCCTGCCAATAACAGCATTTTGGGCTGTAGAATACGCAAAGACAACATCGATTATCACAGTTGAACGAAACTTTCGACGACAGTTTGGAATCGATCCACAAGACAAGAACTCCATAAAGCGTTGGCATACAAAGCTCTTGAAGACAGGTTGCCTATGCAAAGGCAAAAGCACCGACCGTCCTCCGTAAACAGAAGAAACAGTAGATACACTTCGGCAATCCTTCCAAAGCAGCCCAATAAAGTCAGTTCAGGAAGCAAGCTGTTAGTACGCATCGCCCCGCTTAACAGTCTGCGGTGTTCTTCCTAAGCGTTTGAAATAAATGGTTTACAAACTGGAACGAGTGCAGACACTCAGTGAAGATGACAAACAACTTTGCAATGTCTTCAGTGTAGACATGGTGGAATTCACTAAAAATGAAGATTTTTTGGGGACAGGGTAGTCTTCAGTGACAAGGCGACCTTCCATATTAACGGCAAAGTCAACTGGCATGATGTTCGATTCTGGGCTTCAGAACGCCCTAGGCGAATCACTGAGAATGTTAGGGATTTTCCACAGTTGGACGTCTTTGCTGCCATATGCAGAAGGAAGCTTTGTGGGCAATTTTTCTTTGCAGAGAGAACTGTAATGTATTCTGGTTTCGTGACTTGTTCCAGATTTGATTGATGGCACAACTTGAAGAAGACTTCTGCGTTTTCATTTTCCAGTAGGATGTAGCTACAACTCACTTTCATAATGACGTGAGGAGGTACCTGAATGAACATCTCCTACGGCGTTGGATACGTGGCATAGGTCCTGATGATGAAGTGTTGTTTAGATGGCTCCCGGGGTCTCCAGTAATGACACTATGCGACTTCTTTTTGTGGGGTTTTGTCTCACAAGTGTCTCGAGATCTGATGGAACTGTGAGAACAGACCACAGAAGCCTATACTGCCGTTATGAGACATGTTGAATCGAGTATGGAAGCAAATAGACTTTATATGCGATATTCTTTGAAAAGGGTACATTCTTTTTCGTATAGTCTAAGTAAACTCTACACCCTCCCCCCCCCCCCCCCCCCCAAAAAAAAAAAAAACACAACACAACACAACAACAACAACCTGAATACACGCAGAGAAACAGTCAGATCAGAAAACATAACATGGACACTCACGGCAAATATTGGTCTATTGTAAATTTCCCTGATGTATCGGCGCAGCAACGACCTCCTTCGGGCCGACATAGTCCTACGTCGGGGCCACAGTCGACTCAGCGCCCCTCGCGCCATCACCAGAGCTCCAGCAGCTATCAGAACTGGCCCTGCGTACCTGAAAATATGTCAGGATGAAAGTTGCGTGGATTGATCTCAAGCAGAACCGTCTAAACAGCATTAAGCCCCCCCCCCCTCCCCCCCCCACCGTCCTGGACAAACCAATGTGCACCCTAGCTTGATGAGTTCCTGTCAGCCTGAAGGTCCTGGGTTGGAATAGTCATCGATCCGAACATTTGTTATTGACCTGGATTCCCAGGGGATCTATTCTCCCCCCCCCCCCCACACACACACACACACATTAAAGCCCTGCAATCCACACGGAGACTCCAAGTTAATAAGAAATGTGGCTAAATAAACCTCTTAAAAAACATTTTTCCAAATCGATTTCCTCGTGTTCATCATCCTTAAACCACACAAGCGTTTACTGCCGCTACAAGAAACATGTTGATTCGAGTATGGAAGGAAATGGACTATATATCGGACGTGTCACGAAGGTTGACATAATGAGCCTCACTTTTAAAAATCGCCCCCATACTCTCCTTATGAAGGAACTGTCAGCCAAAGGTCTGTAGACAAATCTAGCTTGTGGCTGAAAACATGCACGAATACTCATGGCCCCCATACGACAGCGACTCACAGGAATGACATTTTATTTACGACAAATCACTTCATATACAGGGATTAGCATAGGGCCCCTATACTTGTGGGGCCCCTGTGCTATTGCCCAGTGTGCCCATGCGTTAAGACGGCCCTGATCCTAAGATAGTATTTTGAAATAAATGGACCAATAAACAGAAAACACTGAAACGATATTTTCTATCGAAGAAAAGTGATTCATCAACAATATCAAATCTCATAAATTGAAATATTTTTGTCACATCAACGGTTAAGGCGATTAAGAAAAAAAACAGTAAACAAATTCTCAAACGACAGGCTATGTAGAATTTCAAAGACACCTTGTGTAGTAAAACACACGAGGAAGAGAGATCATCTAGGGAATGAGACACCATCAAACCACCATACACCTTCCCCAGAGGCTGTGATGAAAGCGGTGTACTGAATAAACTTGTTACATGATAATCTCAGGACAGGAAATATTCGTTTGATAGTAACAAAGCAATGTGGGTGGTTTTTCTCAGGACTTATACTGAGTGTAGTGGCTAGAGGCAACGTTTTAGATATCTGGTCTTCGATGGAGGATGAGGTCAGTTTTACACCGACCTACTTTCTTCTTCCTTTTATTTCTGATTACATCTTATAAAGAAGCGCAGGGATACTACATTATAGTTTATCTTTCTTCCAGCACAATAGCCAACATAATTTGGAAAACAAAAGAAAAAAAACACTCTAGCTCACAATTTGATCTGCAACAGAAAATAAAGTATACTATCCAATATTATTTGCAGTATCTTTTCTCCAGGCTATGCCAGCGTGGTGGGTAATGAACATGCAGACAGATTGGCTGGATCCGCACCACTGGGTGGTGAACTGATATATGACAAGGCAGATGTGGTCAAGACCCTTTGGGAACAAGCAATAGAATCAGTAGAGAAAGAAGATTATAATGGCCTGGACAGAATGAGGCACCTGGGTGTAACCAAAGGGTCTGGCCGGCTCACTGCATTTAAAGGAAAGGCAAGACGGAGTTTTAACCAGATTGTGACCGGTACCATCAGTACTGGAATTCTGCGCTGGCTGCTGAAGATGAGGAAGGAGCGTGCATGGGAATACCCCGAGTGCTGTGATTTGAATTCCTGACTCAACTAAACTCAACTATTGTTTTGAACATAATTTCCCCCCTTTCTTGTTGGTTCCGTGACCCTATTGGGGGGGGGGGGGGGGGAGGGGGGAAGAAAAGATCTATTGCCTTCTAACAAGTCTTTTGCAACAAGCGACTAATTCGAAGATAAAATACATTTACCTGAGAGGCGATGAACCAACAGCATACACATAAGTCAGATCTATGAAATGGATGTCGACTTAAAACTTCAGTTTTGGAACAAGACCAAAGCCCAGAAGTGGATGTAGAACCAGAATTGTCCGCTATAGTTTGCGGCTGGTTAACCGCCTTTACTTCCCATGACCCCACGTGGTACCTATTCAAGGCTGGGTCGACCTGGCAGCCAGGGTCAGGATCTGAACCCGCCACCTTCCGATCTGCAGCCTAATGAGAAGGCGAAGTCTAAATAGCACTGTTACGGTCAGAAAGTTCTAATAGTTCCTTTATAGGAAGGAGTTGTCTGAAGAGTGCAGCAACAGATGGGCATGTCTTTTGGCACATCAGATTGAGAGGTCTATAAATATATTGTATTTTTACCAAACAGCGGCCTGCGCTTTTGGCTGTTCGGTTGTCAAGCGAATTCCAGCGTACCCAAAGTATACAGGTCTGCCCAAGAGTTTCGTCTTTAGCAAAGAATCTGGAAACTATTGAACCATGTACCCTTTCATGAAAACACCAACCAGCAGAGAATTATGTCATAAACCATGACCATCCTGTTTGATGTAGGACTGTAGATGATATTTATAACTGGACACCCATGGTCGGGGAGCCACTTAACTAGGCATGAAAGACAAGAATCCCCCGCCCGTTCAGGACTTCTGGTTACAACATAGCCGTCGGGGGGGGGGGGGGGGGGGGGGGGGGGGGGGTAAAATAACTGTTCTATAGTGTTGGACTTTGTAATGCCAGGGTGCCGGGTTTGATCCCAGCTGCGGGCCATGCGCCTTGCGTTGGTTTCGACAGTGGTATCAGGGAGCCGACCGTCCAGGGGCAATGGCAAAATACTGGACGTAAATTTGCCTAGATAAACCACACAACAGCCAGGGGCTGTTGGGGTTGGTTCTGCAATGTCCTGTAAAGGTTACGCAAATAACCTATAGTGTTGGACAGGTTTTCCTGGATTTTCTACATGTAGGATTATAATCCATCGGGTGTTAATCCCTCGGATTGCAGTCTCAGAGGGAACACACTACATATCTACCAGTTTACTAAGCCTGTATTAAGAGACCCAAGGACGCAACTGACCTTTCTTTGTTCTCGGCGCTAGTTCCGTCCAGATTCTGGAAAGTTAAGGACGTGATAATGACTCCGACGACCAGAAGCAGGCAGCCGGATATGACGTAACAGATGGAGTTGCCTAGAAGGTTGCTGCAGGGGTTGGCTCCGCTGAAAGATCGAGAGGACTCAATCTCTGATGGGCGTCGCCATCTGATTACTGTGTGCATCATAGGCGACACCTGGTGACAGATATAAGAACAAGTGTGCATAACCGTTATCAAAAACAGACAGAATGTTAGCCAGACAAATATTTGGCTTATATGTTTTCATCAATACGGATCGACAGACAGGTAAGAAGTATAAATTAATTAGTTAGTCCAGAGATGATTCCATTGCACATCAAACCATTCACTAAACCAAAATAAGTGATCGCCCCCCCCCCCATAAATCCCGCAGCGTCTAGCGTTCTGTGTTGGTTTCTTATTCTTCTTTGGATTCCTGCATAGTGCTTTTGTCTGACAACACCTCTTTTACCATGCTCTTGCAGTCATCCCTTGGTTCTCAAAAACGTCTTGTTTCTAGTAGATTTAGAATATCAGCCTGGTCTATGGCTCGCCCACCCTCCACGATAGCCTGTCAGCTTGCTCATTTCCTTGCACGCCAGCATACCCCGGTACGAATACAAAACTGACATGTTTTATCCTTGACTGCTTCAGAGACTTCAACTAGTGTCGTCAAGAAGCATGTTCGTAGCTAGGTGCCAGTAGCATTAGGGATACTGGAAAATAAGCAGTCCCGATTTATTTTGTGTGTGTTTTTACCCAAGTGGTTAGTAAGTAGGAACAGAATTAGAAGATTTGCATGTAGACTGCCAGTAATGTGTGCAGTTTTAGGCTTGTAAGTACACAGGTATTTTGGTTGGTAGATAAAAATGTCATTTTAAGGATAGGCATATACATATATATGAAAGCAGATAAGTAAACACATAGGCAGGTAAATGAATAGGTATATTAGTGAGTGCTGAGTAGTTACGTTGATAGGAGAATATGACAAAAGGTAGAAACATAGACAAGCATTTAACTAGGTAAAGTAGGTAAATATGTACATCGATGACTGATACACAGGCAAGTAAATGTGTTATACTCATTAGCAAAGTGGGTATACGTGTACATATGGGCATGTAAAAACATAGTCAAGTGAAGTGGCAAGTAAATGGATAGGAGGCAAAATGGTAAATGTTGCAAGAGTAGGTTTATCAACAGAATAAATAAGGTAGATACTTTAAAGGTTAAGCAGGAAATGTTTGGATACGGAAATAAATTAGTGGGTTCAATGGGTAAATTAGGATTTAAATTGGTAGGCATATAGGTAACCTAATGTGTGGGCGACTGGAGAGGTAATTAGATGTATAGTCTAGATGGGAAGATAATTAAGTCGGTGGTTCACATGTGAGTTCCGGGCTCCAGGTTTGAGTGAAAAAGAATACACATTTTCCCATTACAAAGACACAACAAAGTAGGAAAAAAAAAAGGTAGTCTTTGATATTTTTACAACAAAAATGTTCCTTGCATGTGAGAAAACAGCAACAACTTGGTTGGCCAGAATCTATAACACAGCTTGGGAGTCAGGGAAGGTCCCAAGTGACTGACAGAGAGCAATCATTGTCTCCAATCGGAAGAATAAAGGAGACACGCGAGACTGTGAAACATTTCATCTCCATCAATATTGGGCAGATGTTTGCAAAAGTCCTGGAATGAAAAGCTCAACCAGTATTAGAACCCCAGTTAAGTAAGAGGCAGGTCAGTTTCAGGAAGAGGTAGTAGTATATTTTTACCCCACCAGAACATCACACAAGCGATAAACACCCGATGACACAAAGTGCCACCATGTGGATGAGGATCACCGTGGAGAGGTTCCAGAGCTATATTGCGGCCCCTGGCAAGAGCCAGAGTAGGGCTTCAAATAACGAACAACTGCATCTCACAGGGAGATGACTGGATTGATAATTGATATTTTCAGGGACAGAAAGAGCTGCAGACATGCGCACTTTCCACTGAGGCTGAAATGTGAGCGATCTACTGAATATGATAAAAATAAGACAACGCTTTATATTTATAGATAAAGTCAAAACATTAGATCGGGTCAATAGATGAAAGCTAATAGAACATTCTAGAAGATTATGGTATTCAAGATCAACTGTTGGATAACATCATGGCTCTTTACCAAGACAAACTGGTGTCCCATATAAGGTGTCGGGAATGTGTCCTTTCACCATTACTCTTTATTACTTACATGGCTAGAATTATACAGGAGGCAAATACATACACTGTTTGTTGCAGATGAAGAATGTCTAATACACCACCAAGAACAAAATGTAAAACACCATATGGACTCCAAACATCAAACCCGCACAAATAACGATTAAAAAAAAAAAAAAAAAAACACACACACACACACACACACATACACACACCGAAAAATGAAGCAATGAGAATAGGCGGGAAACATCATGAACGTTCATGTTAACGGTATTACAATTTTAAAAAAGCACGAGAATTTAAAAATCTAAGAAGCATATTTACAGAGAAGATGGCAGACTCAGTAGAGAGATAGAAGCCCAGTTACAGGAGGCTAATGCTGTCGCCTACCAGTTACCTCCATCCTTGGACACCTAAATATTTCTCTTCTAGCAAAACTGCAAATGATTTAGAGCATCTTCATCTGTATGCTGTCAGTGCCAAACATGGACAATGAATAAGGCACTTAACAGATAATAGGTTAGTTGCGTATCCTTTACAGGACTTTGCAGAACCAACCCCAACATCCCCTCACTGTTGTTTGGTTTTTCTAGGCAAATTTACGTCCAATAGTTTGCCATTGCCTCTGAACGGTCAGCTTTCTTGATACCACTGTCGAAACCAACGCAAGGCGCATGGTCCGCAGCTGGGATCGTACCCGGGATCCCGGCTATCCGAAGCGTTCGCACCGACTTAGCCACAGAGCCGACTAACAGATAATAACTACCTTGAAATTGTCTCTCTTCGTAAGGCCACTTACAACGCAAGAAGAGACCGGGTTACGAATACCAGCATTAGAGAGAAAGTCGGAATAACACCATGAAGACCAATATTTGGACAGACAAAGCATGACATATTTCGGCCATCTAGTGAGAAAGTAGCCTCAACCAAACTGCATTTCAGATTTATTTGTTTACAGAAAAACATCTGGGATGAAGGCCGGGGGAAGGGGAGGGGGAGGGGGAGGGGGAGGGGGAGGGGTAGAGAGGCATCAAGGAAGAGATGGATAAATGATGTAGCTGAAACTGGCAAAAAGATGAAAAAAATCCCTTACCAAGCCACCCAAGAAACGCAAGACAAATGCAGGAAAAAAAAAAACCACGACACTGGGCTACAATCTAACATTCGTGAGACGGCGAAAGAAGAAAAATAAGGAGACGCCTAACAAGTGACTAAATAGGAATGTTTCTTTTGAAGTCGGAGTGCATCTGTCTGATAAGGTAGGAACCAATAGTCTGCATACAAGTAAGTAAACAGATGAGTCAATAGGGAGGTTACTGAATAATTAGTTTAGTAGTAGATATGTAGGCAGGCAAACCGACAAGTGGGTAGGGAGGTAGACAGGTTGTGTTTTGCTGCCGGGGACGATGGGAAATCAGAGCAAAGCAATCCGAAAAAATGTTTACATGTCCGTTGTGTGAAGGTAATTTTTTCTCTGATATCTAATGACCCCCCATCCCCGGGTTTTCACTTGGATTGCCCACGTCTGACATCTTAGTCATAATTTGATAGCACCAGACGACAAATGTTTTCTACCACCATCGTCTGCAGTCGGCCAGCAGTCGCACTTAGTCAGCTCACCCCCCCCCCCCTCCCCCCAACCGGTACAACTGTTTGGAGAGGAGACACACACACACAAAAGGTTTCCAACAACTGCAGCCCACGCACTCGACGCTGATAAAGTTCCATTTATGAATTACTGGCCTACAGTGTGTGACTACCGTGATGATCAATACGTCTTGGCGTAACAATTTCTTCGTGACCTGGTCTTCTGTGCCTGATTCAGCCGCCTGGAGTGTCTACTTCAGGCTAGCTGTTGACACTTTTTGTCACAGCTGCTCAGTCACCTCGTCGCTAATTTCCCGCAGCGGCTGTAATGTCAGCTAGGGACACTTAATGTCACAGTTTCTCCACGGCGTCGTCGCCTACTCCCACCAGGCGCGTAGCCACGAAATACATTTTGAGGGGGGGGGTGCAGAAATCCCATTTAGCCGTTATGGCCACAATTGTGGCCTAGCTATATACATGAAAATATGTGCACGAGATAAACAATTATCCCCATCAATTCAACTGTCTCAGTAGCGCTTTTTCTGAGTTTTAAAAAGAATTTAATGTTAGCTTTTGCTCAGAGCCGATGACGTAACAATGCACCTCTGGCTAGGTAAAAAAAATAGCGGCTTGTTTGTTGTCTGCTTATCGAGCGGCGATGAAAAGTTGTCAGATCATAGATGAATGTTGCCTCTTTAGATTCCATGCTTTGCTTCTTAGATAGAATTTTTGTCTTGGCCATAATAAAATCAGTCTCATTACCTAATTGTCGGACCTAGTAAGATCATCATAATCATTATAAACCACTTCTGCCGTTAAGCGGCGTGGGGGAGGAATCATTTGCGATCCAGTGCATGCTGGCTGCCACTGGCTGAATAACACGTAAACACAGTAATCTACCTGAAATATCATGAAATGTAATACATTTTTTAAAACACAAATTCTATAATTTATTAATCGGGGAATATTTGACTCCCCATTTAAAATTTAGGGGTGGGGTGGGGGGGGGGGGTTACTTGACTGAGTAATCTTTTTTTTTTGGCAGGTTGGGGGGGGGGGGGGTAAAGGTTCCGGCGCCCATGATTGTCTTGCCAGCCAGCGGCATTTGGTATATGTATATAAGTAAATTGTACCCCACCAGGACATCACACAAAGCGATAAACACTCTGTGCCACAAAGTGTCACCATGCGGTAGAGGTCTTAGAAACCCCGTTCAGACACTAGGCCATATTTATGGCCCGGCTATATTTAGGACACCCGGCAAAAGCCAGGGTGGGGCTTCCAGCAACAAAAACATTCATCCCATATGGGGGCGGCGAACACAGAGATGAGCCATTCAATGACCAGAGAGGTTTTGTGGAATCAATGGACCCTAAATTAGA